AAATGATTTGTTTGGCAAAATACCTTCCATTTGACATCAATGCAAAGACTTGAAAAGTCTATCATTAGGTGATACCACGTTCAACTAAGGAATCATTCCAAGTGACATTGGAAATTTGACCAATCTTCAAGTACTTTATCTTTCCAACAGCAACTTAAGGTAAGAGTTTAATTTATATGATTGTTTTAGAATCTATTTCTAAAATTTGATAATTCATTAGTGAATCTTGATAATTTTTCTAGATTACTTTTAAAGGCATGGATTAGGATGCTTTCTTGTGATCAAATCATGATTAAAATGTCAATTAGATCTAGATTAGATTTTTTAATCCCAAAGTGAATATGAATAAAATGACATATATGATATAAAGAACCGTAAAAGTGAGGTGAAAACAAAGAGAGGATTGTTTGGAGGAAACATTCCTGAAGCTATATACAACCTTGAAAGAATTGAGTCCTCGTTCATATAATGGGTTGTGTGTGTGTATTGATCACCGACATTCATGTAACAGTGGGGGGCACAATTTGCTTAAAAAAAACTTCAAATAGTGAATCAATTTTTGAAAAAAATTCTCGATGCAACAAGTAATTGGACATATTTAAAAATATTTTATAATTTATCAGCGACAAGCTTTTAATAATATTAAATTTTGGTGATTTAAAATATCTATATTTGCCTTTTATGTTTCAATTTTTTTTTTCATGTAATTTCTTTTCAAAGGCAAGTTATTTTGTTCCAAATATTGACTATCTATCCAAGATTATCAATGAATCACACATTAAAACACACACACGACATATAATTGTAGCTCTATATCATCATTTAGAGTGTACTAATGTTACCACAGAACTTCTATATCATCATTTAGAGTGTACTAATGTTATCACAGAACATGAGTAAGTCTTAATTGATTTTATAAAAAATATAATGTCACACCTTAAAAATAGAGGGTGATCGACATAGGGTGTAAGTCATATTAGCTATCACACATCCCTTAAGCTTCAAATGGAGAAAATTTTCCATTTCTAAACGTATCTAGATTTAAATTGAAATTTTGATACCCTTGATAATATTAATTTTTTTATGAGAACTTTACAGAACAGATAACAGATATGGATACACAATCCACGAAATAACTAACTAGACATGGTTGAAGCTATGAAATAGACGTGGACACACAATCTATGAGGATAACTAACTAAACACGGCTGAAGCCATGAAATAGATATCAGTACATGACCCATGAATAACGGACATGAGAACATCGCTCATAAAAAATCAAACTAGCTAGTCATTAACCATGGCACACTAAGAGCTAATGAGACTGTCATTAACAACCAGTGTCCTATATAAAGTCCCTTTTCAAACACAATTTCAAACATGCGAGAAAATAGTCATTATTAAAATAAAATAATTTAGTAAAAACTAATTTTATTGAAAAATTAGTTGGGATACTATCCACTTACTTGAAATTCTCAATTTTCAAATTTTACCTCTAAACTTTAATCAAATTTCTCATTTTCCAAACACCCTATAAATCATTAAAAATTTTTATCGAACCTTTAACTAATACAATAATTCCTTTTCAGCTCCATCTTCACCAAAATTAAACTATAATAAACTTTAGAACCAAGGTCTTACACTTTTTTTAAAATAAAAAGACCAAATACATATATCATTTCCAAACCACTCATAAAAACTCTAGCATTCAAATATTTCATCAACAAACTATCTGCCTCCAAGAATTCAAAAACATCACATATTATTAATTTCATAATCAAATCTCCTTTGCAACTTCCAAATTAAATTCACAATATAATAGCATCCCAACCAATTATGTCTCCCAAGGAATTTAATGACATTTTAGTAAATACACAATCAAGCAACTCTCTCTAACAAGCATTCTAACAAACATCTTATAGGCATCATTCCTCAAGTCTCATATTTAAGTTCTTATCTTCCAACCAAATCCTAACCAAATTTTCAATTTCAATCAATTTAAATAAAATGAATTTGACTATAAAATTTTGACCCTTATGTATCATCATCATGCTTCAATACAATTTTTTTCAGCTTAATTTAAATCCTCTCCTTCTTACACAGTCACGGCAGGAGCAAAACACAAGAAAGAGTTTTGCAACTTTAACAATATTTCATCTTACACTCACATGCACAGCAGAAACAACAATTGGAGGGTTCGAAAACGGAACGGTGGCGGACGAACAGAGAGAAGGAAAGAAAAGTCTTGAATGCTGGACAGGAAAAGAGCTTTAACGGCTCTTCCACGGCCTTCAACGGAGATAAATATAACGCGAATGAAAGGGAAGAGAAACCTGAACGCTCACACAATCACTTGGACAGAGAAGGGAGAGATTTTTTATGGTTTAAAACAAAGAAGGAAGAGAGGTTGTGAGGTTGAAGGAAATGGCATGGTGCATCTCTACTCCGGTGACGGCGACTGACACGAAGGGTGGAGCAACCAGCGATTTGAGGACGAAGAAGACAGAGATCGAGAGGTGAGAAGGCAAGGGTTGTGGTACATTGCTCTATAACTCTCTCTGCTTCTCAGAATGCTCGAAGAAGACAATAAAGAAGAGGAAAAAAATCTAGTTGAGATAAGGACAATTTGGTAATTTCATGAAGTATAAAAATAAAATACCTCTCCTTGGGCTATAATCAAATTCGAACTTGGAACCTAATGGTTAGGTTATTGCATGGTTTCCACTACATCAACACTCTTATAACTGTTCCAAACATTAATAATTAATAGAATATATTTAAAACAAATCAATGTATATTTATTTTCTTTATTAGGGTTATTACATATAACTATTTCTAATATACATATTAACTCACTACTACAAAGTAGGGAATATAAAAGACCATTTATTAAATGGTTATTTGTAAAACCATTATGGGAATTCGTAAATTAATTATTAAGCGGTTATATCAACAACTGTTAGATAAATGAAGAATTTACTCAATGTTTATTAGAAGTAACCATCGAGTAGTTTTGTCAATTTTTTATTTTAAAAATTTCAAAGACTATTAAACGGTTGTTCTACAGGACCGTTTAATAGTCCCTTCAAATATTCAACGGTTGCGTATTGACAACTGTTGAATAGATATTACTCAATCGTTGTTTATAAATAACCATTGAGTAATTACTTTTAAAATTTTAAAACGCCCCTCCAAATGCCCGTTTGAGATGTTAACTCTGCACTTTGTCTCTTCACTCTCTCTTCACTTCAGACCACATGCTCACCATGGACAAAGAGTTTTCCGACCAAATCCCACCCTTTTCTATTGTTGCAACACTGTGCCGTAGTAGCACCGTCGAGTTTTGAAGGTTTTCTTGCTGCCGTTGTCTTCGCATGGGTTTTCTCTTTGTCTTAGCATGGGTTTCCTCTCTGTCTCATTGTGTCTCTTTATCTTCTTCCTCCGTTCCTTTTTCATTCCCCTTTTGGTTTCTTGGGGTTGTTCATTTGTCCATGGCTGCTCCTCCATTGCTCACTTGGGTTTTCTCCTTCTCTCCTCTTCGAAGAAAACTTCAAACCAGTTTTCTTTTTTGGAAAAAACCTAATATATATATATATATATTGTCATTAAATGGGTTTTGGTTTGTGCATGGCTTCTGTTCCTGAGTTTGGATTGAATGGGTTTGGCTGAATAATTTTTTTAATTTCTAATATGAAATTGTTCGATGTATGAATGGAAATGCTCTATGCTCTATGCTTGAATTTTTTGACACGCTTAATTGCTGAATGGAAATTTTGTTTAGTTTTGCCCTTGTATAATTGTTGATATATACAATGTTATTGAATTTTCCGAAATTTCCCTTGTGAAATTGTTAAATGTGGTTGATGGAATTAGTTTAAGTGATTTTTAGTTTGATATTGTTGTTAGTTTAATATTCAATTTGTTAAAAGAGAACAGTAAGTCTAGGAAATACTCAATTTTAAAACTAATGATATGAAAGTTGAACAATTTGCATTTTTATCAAATTTTCTATCATGCATTTTTCAAACCCTTTTAGTATATTAAGGTTCAATTCACAATAAGCACCAATGAGACTCTAATACTTTTTCGGTCCAATTCCAATTCCTTCCTTAAACATTTCAACAAACACTCCATCTACATGTCAAAATAAGTTAAAAAACAAGCACCTTGATATAAAATAAATAATCCACTTTCAAGCTCAAATGTAATTTTTTAACGTTTTCTCAACATCAATATAAACTTTTAAATTAGAATATAAATTTTCACCTTCTTGTCAATGAATTTTGAATTTAATTATATGAATCCATTAACACCTTACTCCTTTCTTTGAGCATTAAAAAAAACATCTTGATAGCATTCGCGTGTGTTCACTACAAACTGTAATTTCATCAGTACCAATTTCCTTTCATCAATTAATTCTTAAGTCAAACTCCCCTACACTATTCAAGTATCATCAATAATACAAAACATTATAAAATAAATCCCAATCAAGCCTTTGAATCATATTTGAGAAGAAACTAAAATCAACAACGAAAAATTTTGAGATTTCCAATAGATATTATACTTACATATGCTCCTCCAAGATAAACATGGAAATTTAATAACATTTATTTACTAAATTCTTCTCTCAAACATTTGGACAAACACCTAGAGAGCATTCACCAAAGTTCAATCCTCAACAAGCCTCCAACAATATAATCATCTTCCCATATTAACTTTATCGTCAATATTCAGTTTGGCATCCCAATAAAATTATATACGACAGCAACCAAATCAATTCAACTCCTCAATTTCTGAAGAATTCATGGCAGCCATAAAATAAAAACAAAGGCAGAATCTTCGATCAAAGGAGAAGAGAAAAGGAAGCTTACCACATGCATGCACGATGGCCAGAGCGGAGGAGGAACATAAGTTGAAGATGACACACATACAGACGCCAACACAAATCAGGAAAAGAACATAGGAGAACGACAGGGGAGGAGTATTCGGTGACTCCACCCTCACAGCAGCTGGCGACGTAAATGGAGATAAGAGTAGCGGACGAACACGTTGGCAAAGAGGGAATTCGACGGTGAGCTACAGAGAAGCAGATCGACGGTGAAGAGAAGGGAAAATTTCAGACGCTCTCCGTCACTTTCATAGGTTCTGTAGTTTAAATAAGAGAAGAAGGAAAAATCTGATGACTCTAAGGCGGAGATGTGACGGCGAGAAGGAGCACAGACCAACGGTGACTAGCTGAAACCGATGAGGGGGACTAGAAGAATGGATTGACAGTGAAGACTACATTGGCGATGGAGAGAAAAAAGAGAGAAAAAAATAGAATAGCCGATGCTCTGTTTCCACGCAAGAGAGAGATAAAAATATGAACAAAAGAAAAATGGGGAAAATTGCAAGAAAGGCCCAAGGAAAATTACAAAAAATGGCATAAGAAAAATTATAACAAGGAGCACAAAAATTTCCTATAATTTTTAAAAAAATAACACTAAATTTTATTCATTTATTTTTTTTAGTAAAATTCAAACTCTGGACCTTCAAGAAAGTTGTTAGTATAAGTTTCACTTAAACTATCATTCTCTACTTGCTACAAAACTAATTTAAATAAAATATCAATTGGGATTTTTTTAAAAAAAAATTAGGGTCATTACATTCTTCCTCCCTTAGATGCCTCGTGTGCTCTTGCTCATGCTTAGAATATATCAGTATGTTGTATAGGAACACGACAACAAACTAATCTAAGAAGGGATGGAATATATGTTTCATGTAGTCCATGAATACTGCAGGCACATCCAACTCAAATGGCATCACTAAGAATTCAAAGTGACTACATCGAGTATGAAACACTATCTTAGGCACATCCTCTGCATTAACCCTTAAATGTGTTGGAAATTGTACCCTAGGGCCAATCATTGTACTATGCACATTGTTATTTAATGAATTTCTTTTTTGCTATCATAACAATTACATGTTCAATATGATAACTGTATCCCTGGACAAACTATAGTGATTGTCCTAAATGTCCCTAATCGGTCATCTTTAAGAGATCATAGATGAAACAAGACTAGTATAACTTTGATTAATTATAGAGATACAAATTAAAGTCAAAGGCACTTGAAAGAGTACAAGGTGCTGAACCGACCCACTATGAGAAAGCTGCATGGTACAAGTCATAAACTTATCTCATATGTAACTATATCACTAAGCCCTTTAACCTGAGATCATCATGGATTCCTATATGATGACCACTGAACTTTGACCTAGTCAAAAGTTACCTTTGACTGGGTGATCATAATGGCTATGATTGAGTTTAGTGATATTCATGCAGAGGAATATGAGTGGTCAAGATGGAATTTGTCCCTCACATTAAGTGAGAGATATCACTGGGCCTCCCGATGAGTAAAACTAAGAAAATGTATGACCATACTATAATGGAAAGGGTTTTTCCATTGCTACTGTCAGTCTACTCGGAGATCGAGAAAGTAACAGTCAGGTAAAGGAGAATGACAATTCCATGTCTTATACTTGACCGAAATATCACGTGATAAAAAGGATGTGATATGGTTGCATGATAGGTTACATTGGATCATCAATCCCCATGTGAATTGGGTAGTTGCAATGTCTTACTAGAGGCCACTAGTTACTTATGGGCTAATAGCGTAATTAGCCTACTACCAATTTCATATGGGCCTACAGGGTCGCACACAAGAATAGCCCAACTCAAGCTATAATGTCCAAGTTCATTGAATATAGAATATGTCTAGATTCAATAAATGTAATATAGGGTGAATGAATTATATATATATATATATATATTTATATGAAATAAAATTCAAAATATAATTTTATATATATATTTGAAATATATATATATCCATATATGTATGTATGTATATATATATCTCATATATATATATATATGATATATGTATATGATATATAAAATTAAATATAGATAATATAATATATATATATATATTCAAAATATATATGTATGTATATATATATATTCATATATATATATAATATAATATGTATATGTGATATATTATATTATATTATGTTAGTTTTAAATTTAATTTTATATGATAGATTAAATTTAATAACTAACATGATATGAGATAATATCATGTTAGTTTTATAATTTAAATTTATCAGTTTTATAATTTAAATTTATAAGATAAATTCGAATTAGATATGATATTGTGGATTAAATTTATGAGATAAATTTAATTAAATTTTCGTGGGCTTTTAAGTAGAAGACGAAAACCCTTATCTATATATTATATATAGATAGGGATGTTCTTTATGAAAGTGGAGAGAGTTAGAAAAGTTCTGACAGCAAAAACACTCTGAGAGCCACAGAACACCATATAGAAAGAAAAATTAACGTTCAAAGAAGAACGGACGCTGAGAGCGCTAGCACGCTGTTCGAGTTAGAGAGCTGTTCGTGTGGATACCGATAGAGGGAGCAGATCTACGTTGTCAGCTCCTGAGATCCAAACTCTTGAAGAGAACGTGCATTAACTTCAATGAATTAAAAGGCAACTCTTTTATCCACCTTGACTTAAACGAGTTCGTTCGGTCTATATCATGATAAGGACTTTAGAATTTTAATCTTCCACTATGCCTCCCTATCTAACAAAATGATGGTACCCAAATCGCAAGTCAACCTTAGAAAATATTGAAGCTCCTACTAACTGATCCAACAAATCATCTATCCTCAAGAGTGGGTACTTGTTCTTTACTGTCACATTGTTCAGTTACCTGTAGTCAATGCATAGCCGCAGGCTGCCATCCTTCTTTTTCACAAACAAGATTGGCGAACCCCATGGCGACATGCTACGGCATAAAAAGCCCTTCTCTAACAACTCCTTGAACTTCTTCTTAAGTTCTACTAATTTTAAACGAGCCATTCGATAAGGTGCTTTTGAAATAGGTTTAATACCAGGTGCCAAATTAATAGAGAACTCTACTTTTTGCTCTGGTGGCAAAACCGATACCTTATTTGCAAATACCTTAGGAAACTCATTTACAACTTGGATTTCATCAACACTGCTACTACCACTGCCTCCTACTGCAAAGAAAGCTGCATAGGCCTGACAGCCTTCAGAAACCAATCTCTCAGGTTGCACTACTGATAATAGCGTTGGCTGACTAACAGTTGTTGTGGAAGTCCCAATAGGCATCACATGAACTAGTAGTAGTACCATCTATCTAGCACAATTCAGAGTAGTATTATTTTCTACCAACCAATCCATCCTAATGATCATATCCAATCCTTACATGGGAATTAGGATCAGATCTATCACAAAAGCTCTGCCTTCAAAGCACAACTCTACACTTTCACATACCTCATTGGTCTTATCCAGTAATATAGATGGCGTAGAGACCTTAATTATATAAGGCAATTCATACACAGGCAATTCCAACTCTTTCACACAATCATGTGACACAAATGAATGAGTTGCTCCAGAGTCAAATAAAGCCTCAACTCTTTGCTCGCAGATAGAAACTGTACCTGTGATCAGATTCAATGCAGTCTGAGCTTCCTCTCGAGAAATAGTGTACTGCACATTCAACCTAGCACTACCTATCATTGCTCAGAAGCTCCCCCTTAATTCTTGGGACAATCCTTCATAAAATAACCTATACCACCATATATGTAACAAGCCCAACATCTTCCAGAATGGTTACTGCCACAAATTGCACACATAAGCAAGTGTAAAGCCAACTATACCACTGCTCAGACTAAGTAATCCTCTTTGCATATGGATGGTCTCTTAGGTCCGTCATGGTGGAGTCACGCTCTACGCTCTAGATCTTTAGAACTTTCTAACCTTATATAGAGTAAGACCATGACCCCCTACCCTAGTATAGGGTATACTCGTGGATCATTCCTTATCCTAAGTCTGTTGTTGCAGAGTCTAGCTTTGCGCTCTGGATTATCAGGATCTCCTTAGTCCTTCTTGGCAGAGTCAAGCTCTACACTCAAGACCTTTAGAACTTCTTAGACTTGTACAGAGTAAGGCCGCAACCCCTTACCTTAGTCTAGGGTATACTCACGGATGCAATGCACATGTCTACAGATGTTCCTTCATATTTATCTCATACATTACTCACACACCCGCATACATATACTTTCACAATTTTGCTACTCTGTTAGTTCATAAATCATAATGCACATAGTTATATAACATACTTGTAAACAATTTCACAAACGAGCAAGTAAAAGGGTTACTCTAGTTACTTTTAACCCTTACTACTAAGGGTTACCAATCACATTAAGCTCCCAAGGGTGTAGATTCCCACGAGTAACATCACAAGTGATCAATCTACACAAAGAAGTATCCCTTAATCAATTCTCAATACTTAACATAGCCGAATCTTGTAACACACAAAATAGTTCAATTAGAACCCTTTAAATTCAAAAGTCCACTATCTATAGTTATTGGCCCTATAGGCTAGTCAAATGACTATAACAACCTCCTAACTCATTTATCCATACAATTTCATCCTTTAAACCTAACTTTTTAGACTATTCGAGCCTAAATCCTTAATGCTTAACCATTCAACTCCATACTAGTCATAAAACCTTAGTTTCATATTCGATAGCCTATTTTAAACCTTTCTTTTAGATTACAACACCTTAAAACTTCCTAATTTGATTTCTCAACTGATCAAATCTAATGAAAATGGGGTAGAAATGAAGTGTAAGGCTGTGCAATACTTACCCAACAAGTCAATAACCAAAGCAAACCGTCGAGCTCTCATAAATCAATGCCTTATCAAAGTCAAGCCTCTTCTCCTCTCCAAATATGTTTTCCTAACTCCTCATCTTTATACATCAGCTTTAAGCAATTCCTATGTAAAGAGCCGCAGTGCATACAGCTTTGCTGTAGCGCATGACACAGTGAGTTCAATCTCACTTATGCTCACGTGTTAAGCCTAGAATGTCGTTCTACCCTTTTATCCTACCATTACAACAGCTAACCAACACCAAAAACCAACTCAACATCCAAACCATAATCAATCCACTAATTACTAATTTACCCTTAATTAACAACTACTTTTCTTAGATTGAAATTTAGGATGTTACATTCTTTCTCTTCGATTTCAGAAAAAGCAAGAGAATTTAGCTTGATAAAATCAATCAACTTTACTAAAGCAGTCTCTTCTTCAATATCACTATAAGTTCCTTGTCCTATACCATGTGTAAATAATAAAGTACCCTCAAGAGATTTAGGACTTAAAGGCTCAATCTCAGATAAAATCTCTTAAATATGTCTATGGGGTTGACCACCATTAAAATTGGCTTGCCTATAACCCTGCCCTCGACCATGAAAGGGCAATTCATTATGTGGAGTAGAAAAACTATTAGATGCTTTACTACTACAAGAACTTCTACTAGAAGGATGACGCCTAAGCAGCATTCTCATTATACAAAGAAACATAACAAATACTAAATGCAAGACATAATAATAATATAAGAAGCAGATAAATAAGGAAAGGAATAACTCTTTGGGATATCCTAAAAGGCCTTTAATGAAGCCTCAATTATTATAAGTTAAGAAACAAGCATCTTGATATAAAATAGATAACCCACTTTCAAGCTCAAATGTAATTTCTTAACGTTTTCTCAACATCAACATAAACTTTTAAACTAGAATATAAATTTTCTCCTTTTTGTCAATGAATTCCAAATTTAATTATATGAATCCATTAACACCTTGCTCCTTTCTTTGAGCATTAAAAAAAATATCTTAGTAGCATTCACATGTGTTCACTATAAACTAAAATTTCATTAGTACTAATTTCCTTTCATTAATTAATTCCTAAGTCAAACTCCCCTACACTACTCAAGCATCATCAATAATACAAAACATTCTAAAATAACTCCTTAACCACACTTAGTTGTTTTTCGTGGTGTGCTTTCGTTAACACTCGAGGAAAGTGTTACACTCACCTTCCCCTCATCTACTGCCTCCCTTAACTATGTGTTGCTGTCATCTTCCTCCTAGCTCATTGTCACTAGGTCATCATCTCCTAGCTTATGCACCCCCAGCTTACTGTCGCCCCTAGCTTACATCATCCCCATCTTGCTATCGCCCCAAAGTTTAGCTTACCGTCACCAAGCTTCTTCATTTCTTCAAGCTTAGCTCCACCTCTAGCTTCGTCTTCCTCCCTCATCCAGGTTCCTTTTGGGATTTTTTTTTCCTTTTGTTTTGCTTATTTATCATCTTAGCTCTATAAAATTTACGTGTATCTTAATTATCTTTTAGCTCCACAAAATTAATTTTTTCCTAATTTTTTTATTTTTTTTATGTCATTTTCTGACTATTTCTTTTTTGCCAATTAAGTTTTCATTTTTATTTCTAATTTAATATTTAATATTTCTATTTCATTGGTAATATCTTTGTTATTATCAAAGATACCTCCAATAGACATGCACCTAACTCAATGTGGATCATAATTATGGGTTCTTGTCTCTACCTTTAAGAACATCTTACATTGTAAAGATGATACTGGTTTTTACCAATTATTGAGAGGTATTAAATTTTTAATTCATCTCTCAATTTATAGAAAATTGTCTTAATGTTGTGATATTAATATAAATTAATATATTGTAGTCATCATTGGATGCTTCCTATCATTTGCACATATGAAAATACCATATATTAGTTTTGTTCGCTGTAATAGAAAGTAAGTGATGATATGAAGTTTTTGATTGAATTGTAAGTTTTGAAGAACTCTATTTTGTGTTATTATTAGTATATATTTAATATTTGAAGTATGTCTATTTGGTAAATAGATCTTTAATGACATATTGGAAATTAGCAAGAATGGTGGACAAGAAGAAAACTAAATAAAGTGAGTGTAAATGCAAGTAAGTATTTCAAATTTATTTTCCAATTAAAATAAACATTATAATATTAGTTTAATGAATTTAATTATTTTTATTTTCTTAATAGTGTTCTCGACAACTAGGAAGTGCAGAGTGTGGTTATTATGTAATGCTTTTGATGTATGAAATCATCACTCAATGTATTATCCACTTATTTGAACAGGTAATAATTTGTTAATAATGATTTATATTTTGAAGCTTGCCCTATACTTGAATTATTATTCATACATATATTGTTATTGAATTTGCAACATTTTAAAAGTTTAGAGTCATATTCTAAGCAAGATTGAAGACATATACGCAATATTTGGTCTAGTTTCTTCCTAGAATTAAGAAGATTAGAGTAGATGTTTTATGGATATTTGTATTGGAAATGTAGATTTTTAGTTGATACGTTTGTACTAGATATATTTGTATTGGTCTCTAGCGCTATTATTTATGTATTTATGTACGTTTTGTAAATAAGGGATATATGTAGTTATAGGTGGTTTTTTTTCCCTAAAAATCTAGCATTTATGGAAATAGTTATTAACCATAACTGTGGCCAAAAGAGCTATTTATGGCAACAATTATACCCACAACTACCATAAATGGTTATTTGCCCAACTCATGGCCATTGGTATGAGCTTGACTTTGTGGTCGTAAGTGCTTCTTTTTGGCCTAAAATAACCATTTATGACCACAGGTCAAGCTTTGATCTGTGGCTATAAGTGCTTATTTTTCACCACAGTTCTGTTATGACTTGTGGTAAAATGTCTTCATTTACTACCATACTCTCCTCTACTACACACCATCTTGTATCACAAAAAAAAAGGCTTTTAACTGTGGCAAAAAATGCTTTTGCACTAGTGAAGTCAAAGTATTTTAATCTAAAATATATGCTTTATTTTTACATGAATATAATAATAAAGACACACACACATAATATGTATATATTACACAGGTGTGTGTACTATATACTAGTATATTTGGCTTTTGTAACTTCACATAGAAGGGATGTTTTTGGCGGGCCTTAACACCCCCAAGAATACATGGAAGGGGCATGGAGGTAGGGGGCATGACCCCTAACAACCAATGCGCGGGTTCACCTCTGATGATGTCAAGCTTATAATCTAGATTGTTTAACAACAACATATATGTGTTCTCTCTTTGTCTGTAGGATTGGATAGTTTAGAATGCTAAAAATGAAATAGATAGCCTAAACACAAAAAGAATGCCTTGGAAAAGACTATTTTCTCTTACCTGCTAGAATATATGGAAGACAAGATGCAACAATTTTTACTCAAAAGATAATATATAGGACAAAGACATCGCCTTCTCATACACTCAATAGATTTTCAACAACTTAAGGCTCCAAATCATAATCAACCATTTGAGCAAAAGTGGTGTTAGATATGAAGCTAAATGGTGCCCTCCCACACTTGGGGGTTTAGAGTTGACATTGATGGCTCTATCAACATCAATAGGGCTACTACTTGTGGAGGCATCATCAAGGACGATAAGGATAGTAGGATCAAATTAAGGGATTTTTCAAGAATCATAGCTACCACCCTAACATAGCTACTAAACTTATGGGGATTTGAAAGGTCTTGATCTTTGTTAGAATGCTAAGTTTCCTAAAATCAATGTCTATTATGATTCCATGGAAGCTTTGTCACTCATCAAACAAAACCACTCAAAAGTCACCGGCTCTTA